GTCGAGTTTTTTTCCCATATAATTGTGTACGACCCCATGTAAACCGTGCCCAATAGTAAGCGTGCCACATGTTGAAAACAAACAAACAAACCTTGGATTGGCCGTCTTTGATCTTCCATGTCGCGACTTATTTTTTTGCGACCTACATAACGCAGGCATTGATGCGATTTACATAAAACCGGCACGTCATTTTTTGAGCCTTAACACCGCGCAAATTACAAAGCACAGCTTCGAGGCAGGGTCGGAAGGAGAAAAACGTTATTTCCACCAAAAGCCTTATACAAAAAATTGCTATATTATCGCGGTCACAAATACAGTCACAAATAAAATTTACTTTCGTGTATTTTACTTAAAAAATGTGTTACTTTTATTGAAGGAAAATTTAATATGCTTCCATTGTCTATTTCTCTGATTATAGTAGAAAGTGGCAGTTTCTACTGGTAGGTACAATGCACTAATAAGCGTTTTTAATAAATAAAATCGTTGAATCTTCAAGAAGAATCACAAATATCCTCTGCAATCCTTACTTCAGAAACAGCATCACAAAAATCACTTACCATGCGCTCAAACAAACAAAACTGCCACCAGAGCCCCACTTAAAAAAAGAGAAACGTGGAATATCATCACCATCGAGCACGAAAAGCCTTCGACTTTCGCGCACCTTACACTGACGTTATTGTAACACAAACACTCGTAAGGATCCCCAAAAATGAGGCCGTTCGTTTCCGTTTTCCTTCCCTTAAAGTACCAAACGCACGCCTCAGTCCAAAGGTCCCCGCCGTCGCCGGTAAAAAAAAAAAAAATAGAACCCGCGACCCGCCAAGGTTCCTGAAATTCCTGCCGACGCGAGCGTCTAGTTAGTAACACGCTCGCAAAATAAAACCCAGACGGTCGAGTAAGTATATAGGCGACCTCGATTTGCGAAGGATACCTCGCCTCTAAAACGGTCCAGACTGTCTGCTCCGACGACGACGTCGACGTCGCAGTCGCCGCCGTTGCATAATCCGAGAGGATGAGAAATAAATCGATTTTGAGGTGTAATATAATTTTTTTAAAACCTGACGTACATTTTCACTCAATATAGGGCATTTTTAACTCATTTATGATTATATTTGAACTGAAACTGAGTACTTTCACTCAAATATAGGTACTCCTTGTTGAATTTAAATCATATTAGAGAAAAAGTCAACTCTAAATTAATTGGTTTCATATAATCATAATAGAGTCGAAAGTCGCTCAATTGATAGTTAGCAGTACGTAGATATTTTTTTTAACTCGGATTTGAGTAAAACTCATTCATTTCTGATGCAATAGTTTCACTCAGTTGTAGTCATACTAATAGAGTGAAAGCTTCATTCAATCAGGTGTGAACAGAAGTTGATACATTCGTGAGTGACATTGAGTGAAATTTGAGTGAAATTGGGTGTAGCCCAACTCTTATATTTGAAGTGACAGCAGTACTTTCAAATGCAAAGTTGTAGGAAATAACTTGACTAAGAAAAATTTATAAATAATGATTTACGGTGTTGCCGGATTTCCTCAGTAGCCACTAAAACAATATTTCTTTAAATAGCAACATCGTATTTTTCAACATAATTTGACAAATCTTCAAATTCTAAAAAATAAATGTTAAGTCACATTTCTTTATTGGAGTAGCCGTTTTAGGTTTTAAGCTTTAAAAATCGACTTTCTAAACCCTTTTTTGTTAATAACTTTCGGAGAGGCAGAAGGTTAAAGTTATGCATTTTTGTCCTTGACGGGATAAAAAAAAATTTTGCAAAAACTCTTGGACCCACAGCGCCCATCTTTCGCACAGTTTTGAAGAACAATAAAACTGGCATCTTAAGCATATTTATAAAATTCCAACAAATAACAGCCAAGTTATGGATAATTAAAAAATGCTGTTTTTCCACGTTTTTTTGATGTTTTTTTGCAATAACTTTTAAACAATTTAACCGATTTTAATCTATCAGGCGGCATTTTGTCGATTTTTTTATTGCGCATATTTCATCTGTTTGAATACTTTTCTCTAAAACCTATAGTTTTTCCAATATATTGGGAAAACTGATTTTCGACCCAAATTGTTCAAAAAACAATGTTGCTAATGAAAAAAATTGACTCACGAGATGAGACACCTTTTTTTTTACTGCCCTGCATATTTCAACAATAAAATAGCGGACGCCAATTTATCGATTTTTTTAGTCCATTTACTGCCATAACGAAGCGTCTAAATACATGCATCACCAAAATGGTCCATACTGTGTATACAGGGTGGGTCATTAGTGTGAGAAAGTAATATAGCTCCCTTGTTACTCATAATACAGAAAAAAGTTTATATAAAAGTTGAACAGAATCAAAAAACTTACACTACAAAATTAATTTGAAACATACAGGGCGATGAGTAAAAACGGGACACCAAATACATATTACATTTTTTAAATGGAACACCCTGTATATTTTAAAAAAATTGGTTTTCCGAAAAAATTCTGTATATGGCAATATGAACAGTTTATCATTTTAGTGCGGGGTTACCAAATTCTGTACAAATTTTTTTGAATTTTGGAAAAAACATGACGTAGAAGTTGTATTAACTTTCAGCTATATACTAACACTTGGAACAAAATAATTAGATATAGTTATAGGTAAATGTTAGACAAAGGCTCCTACATCAGCTAATATTGATATTTTATACAGGGCGTTTTTTATAATACGATCATTTTTGCAAAATTTAAATTTGATTTTCTAAACTTTTTCAAATGGAACACCCTGTATTTTATTGTTCTATTTTATTCACATATCGGTTCACTTCAACTTTTATCCAGCATTTCTATATCTAAAATTGTTAGTTTTTAAGTTATAGTAACCTTTCTGAAAAAACATAAATTTTATTATTTTATAGAATACCACAAATAAATATTAACTAATAAAATTAACTCGAAATGGACTGATAAATTATGAACTGACAAGTTGACGCAATGTGACAGTTTTTTCCAAAGCCATTTCGTGCTAAGGAAAATAATAAAAATTAGGTTCTTCCAGAAATGTTGCTATATCTTAAAAACTAACAACTTTAGGTGTAGAACATACATAAAAGTTGAAGTGGACTGTTATGTGAATAAAATAGAACAATAAAATAGAGGGTGTTCCATTTGAAAAATTTTAGAAAATCAAGTTTGAACTTTCAAAAAATGATATAAAAAATATCGATATTAGCTAATATAGGAATCTTTGTCTAACATTTGCCTATAACTCTGTCAAATTTTTTTCGTTCCAAGTGTTAGTAGTTGAAAGTGAATACAACTTCTTCGAGGTCATGTTTTTTCCAAAATTCGAAGAATTTTCCACACTTGGCAACCCCACACTAAAACGTTAAACTGTTTATATTGCCATAAACAGAATTTTCTCAGAAATCCATATTTTTAAAAATATCAGTTCCATTTAAAAAATGTAATATTTGGCGTGTCCCGTTTTTACTCATCGCCCTGTATGTTTCAAATTAATTATGTCGTTTAGGTTTCTCGATTCTGCACAACTTTTATATAAACTTTTTTTCTGTATTATGATTAACAAGGGAGTTATTTTACTTTCTCACACTAATGGCCCACCCTGTATATTTTTTAACTCTGTATCCTCTTTCCGCGATCATTAACCAGCTCTGGCGCGGACAATCGGACGAGGCGTGCCAAAAATTCTGATATATATACGTACCTTGGCTGTCAGTGTCGCCACACTCAAAACCTGGCACTCGAGATCTATATAGCCGCTATCCTGGAGGCGCCAGAGGCGATATATTTGTTGGACGCCACATATTTTCGAAATTCACACCGACGCCCGCCGTTCCGTCAAGCCGACGAAACGGAACGCGTAAACAAGGCGGACAGTCGGGCCAACCGCATACAGGAGGTGAAAAAAGATCAAATAAAGGGATTTTTCAAGATAACTCAATTTTTTTTTGTTTCAAAAAAAAATCTTATAAAAGTTGTAGAGCATAAAATTCTACATAAAAATGATCTGTTGACTTTTTCTGGTACTATTAAAATTAACAGAGTTTTAAGGTGGCTAGAACTGAAGGGGTGATTTCAGAAATTTAAAAAAATCATAACAAGCAGAAAAATGAATGAATTTTATAATTTTTTCTTCAATCTTCTCTAAACAATGTAGTTTCTTTTTTTCAGAAAAATAGATGTATTTTTTAATTTTCAATAAAAAAGTTATAACAATTTCAATTTTTCAATCGTTAATTTTTATGACAAACAATTTTTTTCTATGCCATTCGATTGATTATTTAATGTAATGAAGAGTTGCTTTCGAAAATTTAGTTTTAGACAAATATAAAAAATCACGTTTGCTTTGTGAAATTGTTATACTTTTTTTATTTTTTATTTTTATTAAAAATTGAAAAATATACCTATTTCTCTGAAAAGATAGTTTGGATTTTCTAGAGTAGATTGAAATAAAAATTGTAAAGTTCATTCATTTTTCTGCTTGTTATAATTTTTTAATTTCCAAAATCATCCCTTAACTTCTGGTCTATGACGTTCAAGCAATTTTATTGCATGAATCCTTGAAAGGGTCATTTTATATGAAAAAACTGCGAAGTGCTATTAGAGGGTGGAAATTGGAGATAGGGGTGAAAATGCACCCCTTTCAGTTTTTTAATTGTAACTCGAAAACAAAGCAAAATTTCGCTATAGTTCATAGGAAAAATTATTTAGAGAATTGAATTTCCCATCGAAATGGCTTATTTGAAAAATTTAAAAGGAAAATTTTATACAATATTTTTTTTTATACAATTTTATACAATATATATTGGTTAAATGAGCAAAAATGTGACGAATTTTATGCAGATCACGGAAGATAAAATAAGAAAGCTACCTGTATGGGACAATTAAAAAGTTGTAATCCTGTACAACAAGCAAATAAATACAAAATAAAACATTACTGTTAAAAAAATCGCCCTATAGCAATACTGAAACAAAATAAAAGTAAAAAAATCTCACCTATCGAAGATGTTATTGGATTGAGCGTATTTCTGCACGCGCACCAGTGGCGGCAGGTTGGGGTCATCTCCGGGTCCGGTGGCGCAGTCTCCTTGTTCGAATCCTGGAAATCGAACATAACCTTACTTTCCCAAGAAACCGACATTGCCCTCACATGTACTTGTTTACAACGACAATAACAAATTTCTAACCGTGTAGTAAATAAAACTGTGTATTAAAAAACGTAAATAAAGTTGCACGTTTTCAAAATTTATGAAATTCGTTAAAGTATATAAAACTGATTCAACTTTGACTTGATAAATTCTTTTTATTATTATTTTTTAATAAACGTTTTATTCTGAAAGGTCTTTTCAGTTTAATGAAAAAAATTTCAGTATTTTTCGTAATTTTGTTCATATTCCTATTTTCCCTATGGATAATTTTTCATATTGCGCAGTTCATAGACTGTCTAAGCAAAGCAATACTAGAATTACGACTAGACTTATCCGTATGGGCACCAGATATCTTCTATCTTCGTAAAAATCACAATAAAATTGCAAACGCGGGCCAGCGCAAAAGGACATCCCGGCACGAGGGAGGGCGCCTTCATACATAAAGCATTCGGAGGGAGAGAGGAAACGGAGGAAATATGTCGGAGACGAAGAATTGCCGGGACATATTTTATGAATTGGAGCAAACGGTGGCATATTTGCGGGATTCTATTAGCAACCTGTTAGCTCAAGCGAGGAGTTCCTTGATCTCCGCCCAGTCCTGGCCAGGAACGTAAATCTCCGAACGGGAAAAAAAATCGATCACGGAGATGTACCGGTCAAAGAGAAAATTTTCTACCGTTGTGCGTAAAATATTAATTTTACACATTTTGTGTCACAAAACAACGATTTTTTACAAACGAATCATGGTTTCTCGTATCACGTTGTCAAAATAGTCTAAATAGTCAAAATTATAGAATTTGGACTGCAAAAAAGCCAGTGTACATCCCTTAAAAGTAGGTGTTTGGACACGAATATCAAAAAGGCGTATAATAAGGTCCTATATTCTATAGAACCATAGATGCTGAAAGATCGTACTTTATAGTCATTTTTAACACAATTACAAGATGATGCAAATTAGAATTTGTTTTTAATAGTTACAAAAATTGTCCTTTTTTTTGTTGTCCCTATTTTCAAATGTCAATTTAAAAATTAATTGCAAAAACTAGATACCCCCCAGTCAGTCGCTATATTTTCTTTGGAAAATCTCGACTTACTGACTTCTCTAGCGCACAAATCGTTTCCATGAGCTTAAATTAGATTTTTTTTTAAATTTTTTCCAATATTATAACATTTTTTGATGAGAAAATAAAGGTATTTACGAAAAAGATGCAAAATTTATAATTTAGGTAATTGATTTTTAGCAAATGTGACAATTTCCATCACTTGGATCACAAAGAAACTCTTGAGGGTTTCTTTGGGATGTTTTGAGGTTAAAAAAATGTCGGAAATATCCTTAGACTTCACTATTTGTAAAGTTATCTCGAGTTTAGCGAAAATCATTAAATACGCAATTTTTTACCTTTTTTTGAATCAAACTACTTGCATCAATTTTTTTTTACCAAAAAACGACAAAAGTTTCTTATAGGAGACACTTTGAAGTTCTCAAAACCCTGCTTAGATTTTCTGTACGACCATTATTTCCCGAGTAATCGATTGCCAAAGGTCATTTTTGTTTTGCAGGACGATAACTCAGCGAGACATTATCGCACAAAGCTCTTGAACAGCTCAAATTAAATAAGACGAATCAAACTAAAAGAACTGACAAGTGGAAGTGCCAAAAAGAATTCGTTGAAGCCCGTGGACCTTTCGAGAGGGTAGCAAAAATGTTGATTGGTCAACGATAAAGCGATTTTTGACTTTCAGGTCCCGAACCTTCCAGCCTCAATTTGTTTTTTTTACAACCATTTTTGCCAAATTACAGCCTTTTGAAAATCACCTAAAAATTTGGTATGTTTTTTTTATCCTTTAACTTTTGTGACTAGTGTATATTCAAGCAACTACTTTCCAAAATTTTCCACTGCGCTATTTTTCGACACCCCGTGCTGGCGAAAACGCGCAGTTTCCATTTTGTACAGTCCACAATCCTAGACGAATGAACTGGGAAGGGAGGGGGGGGGGCATTTTGCACAACTCGTACAGCTCTTCACGAGGCGGTCCCCCTCTAGATCTAACCGAAGCTAGAGTAGAGAAACCATGCACATTTGATCGCCGACTCCTTTCACTCATATTATTGGGCAGTGCAATTGGCTAATGCGGTTTTGCCTGTAACGAGGGCACCATGGAGTTTATTTCTGGCAAATCCCATCAGCAGACGGGTGTACGACCGTTCGTCTTCCGTTTGCTTTCAATATTTTTACTATTCGGTCGATGCGACAACCGAAATGCGGTTAGTTTCTGGTGACACTGCATGAAAACCTTCGAATCGGGTATAAAGTGAAGGGCTGAAGACGTTTTTGGAATAAACTTGTGTCTTAAAGGGACGTTATAAGATTTTTTTTTTTATTTAGGCGCAGCATTAATGTCATTTTTCACTAAACTTTCCAAAAACTATTTCCAATCATATACCTTGGTACAGTTGCTCGAAATAAATGAAAAATTGCTCCAGCCCCATAAACATCGATCGCACATGTAAGGGTCCATCTTCACGTTCCAGAAGGCGACTTCTCGTCCCTCACCGGCCCACGAAGACGCGAGCGGGGGTCTCCCCCTCCCCCTCCCCTCAAACCCCTTTTACGGTTTACTCTTCCCGACCCGATGGACGGTCTAATAATCGTGTTTATTCGTTTGCGACTCATCTCACCCACACTAATGCCCCCGATTCGACTTTCATCGCCCCCTTGTCGGCCGCCTTAGATTTATTTTCAGAACGCAAGCAGCCCCGAGGAAAGCAACGCTTCCGCCCCCGCTGGAAACGGAAACTGAATGCAAAAATATACGAAATAACAATTGATCCCTGGAAATTGAAACAACAAGTTACAAAAACAATTGAATGGACACTAAAAGGTTCGCCCGGCATTTGATTCGTTAAAAAAATTTTCTTTTATTCTTATTGTTTTTTTTTATTAATATCTTAGATGAGTTTTAGTTATTCCAGATGGTATTTTCAATCGCTAGTTCGACCTTATGCCGCAATTTTGATAAAAACTAAGGAAAAACAATAAAAAATGTGTTTAAACGAGATCACGGGGCAATTATTGGTTTCCAAAAGTACCCTATGGAAAAATAAGAAAGGTTTAAGCGTTTAGACTTTTCTTAAAATGTAATATTAACATTTAAAGTACTTGCAATAAGATGCTGATTTTTTGCAGATGTTAAATTTTAACTAAAAATTTGCCTGACATTTGCGGGTTAAAAATAAATCCAGTTTGCCAAGATATAACTTCTACACCAACTGGAGATTTTTATGGATAAAATGCAAGTGTAAGTTTAAAACATCTTCGTTTCGCAGTAATAATTAAATATGGTTTGTAAGGTTAAAAAAAAAAAACAATGGAAATAGGTACATTTATATCATAAAATATTTTTTAATCAAAGTCAACGAATAAACATACGACACAGGTGGTGTAGAAGGCCTTTTCGGAGACGTGACATCTGGTGGTACACCTTGAAATTTGAAAAAAAAAATAGAAATTCGCTAATATTTCCATGCTCCTCGAATAGCAATTAATTGAAGTAGGTCGCCAAAAAGGGAAATACGTAACGCCCTGTAAAAATCCACCAAACAACGTCTGTTAACCTTCATCTTACTTTGTAATTTCAAGAGAATCGTAAACGTAATCAAGAACTTACATTTCTAATTCTAACTTTTATTTGATCGAAACTGATCGTTCGGGACCAGCGTGATTTTCACAAATTCGACATTAAAATCACGCACGTTCGGTCGAGCTTACCACGTCAAGTCCAAAACAAACCGAGGTGACACCCGGTATACAGGAGGAGGTCCCACACCCACCCGCCGCCAACCGAGCCGAGACCACGATAACGGGAAGACGATCTTGAAGGAGGATCAATATTTATGATGGGGTCCGAACGCACCGCACGCAATCGTACGCAACGTCTCCACAAACCAACAACAAACATCACGCCGCCTTCCGCCACGCCGCGCGTCCGCCACACACTCCTCTAAAAACCTGGAGAAAAAAAATTAGCGAAGCAAAACCACTGCCGCACACTCAAAGCACCGGCGAGGCCGAGGGGGTGAGGAAAAAAAAAGCGGACGCAAAAATGAGGCCCCACGTGAACTACGCAGTTCGGCGTCGCGACGCGCTGCTCACGCACCGCGGCGTAGCCGGAGGGAGAGGTGCACCGGGCGGCAGCAACGGGGGACGCGTTTTGGGGCCGCTGGAAAAGCGCCGGAACTGGCACAGGTCCGCGAACGAGGACCCTCAGCCGGCCGAAGACGTTCTTCGCTAGCGCCACACTCGGGTGGAGACGCCGCGTTGCCACGTCTCGGGACGTCGCAGATCGACGGCGCGGGGAGGCGGCGCCGATCCGCGGATGATTTTAAGTCACCGGAGAGTATCGAAAAGAAAACATTTTTTATGTTAAATAAACAACTTGGTCGTTTTTCGTTCGGCACAGCGTCGAAAAATTGGAAAGGTCGGTGAAAATTTAAAAAAATTTATATACGAAGGGAGAGTAAAAAACTTGGGAAAAAGAAACAGATTTAGGCACAAAAATGTTGCTTTAAATTTGTTTCCTTCGTGTTTCGCAGACAAAAAATTTCTTTTACTAAAACGATATTACACGACTTAACATCTTTTTAAATCTTACACTTTCTAATGTATGTTGCAAAGTGAAACATGTAACAAATTTGGCAGTATTGGCAGTGCTATACAACAATTTTGGAAGGTTGACACCCCTGTATAGATACAGTTTTTGAATTTCATTAAAAAAAAACATTTATTAGACTCATATCCGTCAATTTTTTAGCAATACTATTAACTAATGCAACTACAATGTTATTTCTTCAGACTTTTAACCAGTGATTGGCAGTCACTTATAAAAAATAAAGAGTCAGTGATTCGACAATGACTACTGAATATTTAAAATGACCTATTTTTCCACATTT